GCCTGTGGACTCAAGAGTCCCAGGTTCGATTCCGGTCAAGGGCATGTACCTTGGTTGCAGGCACATACCCAGTAGGGAGTGTGCAGGAGGCAGCTGATCGATGTTTCTCTCTCATCGATGTTTCTAACTCTCTATCCCTCTCCCTTCCTCTCTGTAAAAAATCAATAAAATATATTAAAAAAAAAAAAAAGACAGTGTTTGTGAGCGCGGAGTGCAAGGCCGGGCACTCGGTAATGGCTGCTGGCCGCCTAGCCCACGGCCCCTCTTCTGAGAGCCCTGTCTTGTCCTGGGGCTCCCTCCCCACATCTCCTATCCAGCTGCCCCACCTTTTCTGGCTGGTCTGGTTTGGCCTTGCCCACAAGGGTGGCAGGCCGGGGAGGCTCTGAGGTCTCAGCAGGGATGGTGGGGTGGCCCCAAGAATCACCTTGCTGACCCAGCAGCAGAACCCAATGAATGACTCTGGCCAAAGCCACCTTTGGACTTTTGGGAAACACTGCCCCCGGCTGCCTCCGGGAAGCCAGGCTGTCAGGAGGGGATGGACAGGTCTAGATCTAGCCTCGGAGCAGGTCTCACACACCCCACCCCCATCTCAGGGCCAGTCCTTCTGGGGGATCCTTCTACCACCCCTGGGTCCGCCCCCATCACACACAGGGCCCTTGGCCGAGGTTCTGATCCCCAACCTGGACTTTTGAATCTTCCTGGCAAGAAATGACCTCCCATTTTTCAAGTCCCAGAGAGCCTTCCCCTGGACCCCCCACCTTTCATCACCCCAGGAGTCTGGGAAACCACAGGCTCCTGGATAAATTTAGCCCAGACGCCCTCGCCAAGTGGGCAGCTCCTACCTCCTCTCCTGCCCGAGGAGCAGGCCGCTACCACTCCCCTCCTACCTCTGAGGCTCCTCTCTGCTGCACACGATGTCCCTCTGGGACACTTGGGTGCTCCCCACGCTCTGCTCCGGCTCCAGCCAGCCCAGCCAAGCCCTCCCCTCCCACCAGGACCTTTGCTCTCAGCCAACCCCTGTGCAGATGCTTTCTCCTCTGGTAAATATTGACCTGCACATCCGATTAAACATTGATATTGGGGCCAGAAGCCCCTTTCCCACCGGGTCCTCTAAGCCTGAGACAGCCACCTGGAAGCACACGGATTTGGGTCCCACCTGAGCCTGGAGAAAGGAGGTTCAGGGGACAGTGGAGGGTATCCTCATCTAGAGAGCAGATCCAGGAAAGGCTCCTGCCCTTCCAGAGACCCCATTAGGTGGAGGATTATCCCTGCTTTCATCAGGCTCAGAGAGGCTATGCCACCTGCCTGAGGACACAGAGCTGGGCCATTACATCCAGTTCCCACTTCCTTTCCTCTCCCCCACAACTGCCTCCCATCCCAAGGGGAGGAAGGGGGAGCTGCAGGAGCCTGTGTAGGGGACCCAGGATAGGATGCCCATTCCCACTCTTACATGCCCAGGATCCTGATTGGCCGCCTTCAGCCTGGGTCAGAAGGCAGGGGATGGAACGAGATGCTGAGGGGTGCAGCCGCTCTCAGCACCCTGCCTCGCTAGGAGCAATGCTTTACCTCCCCAAGGGTGAGGGTTCTGGAACCTGGCGCGGGGCTGCGGGAATCAGATGCCCTATTCCCTACGCCACCTGAAGAACCATGGCCAGCCTGCCTCCCACCGTCTGCCCTACGCCTCACCCTCTCCTCACTGACCTGCAAGCTGTGGAAGCTCCACTTCTCCCCACCTGACACCACCGTCAAGAAAAGCCTCACTCCGTTCCGAGGCGCTTCCAAAGGGTTTATTGGTCATATTTACATCTATTGCAAAGAGTGAGGAGGCAGCAGGGGCCCAGTCCCAGAGCTCATCTCTGCTCCACAATGTGAGGACCCGGGGACCCCAGGATCTTCTTGTTCCCTGGGAGAGACCTGAGATGCACAGAGGAAATTCTTCTTGGCCCTTCTTTCAGGGTCTTGGACCCCCCATCTCACCCCCTCGCAGGGGTTCTGGGCTCAGGGGCTGCCTCCTCAGTTCAAGGCACAAACACTGTCTGTGGTTAGGGGTAAGCAGGCGAGCTTGGGGCCACTCCCAGCAGGCAGCAGCTAGCCGGTCCATCTTCTTTGCCCTGGTCCTGACCTCTTTCTTGTCCTACGGGTCCCACACAGGGCAGGGCCTGGCTGCGTGGACACTTAAACCCCAGCCCAAGGCCCTTAATTCCTGGACCATAGAGGCTGGAGCCCAAGCACCATGGGGTGCCGGACTGGGGCAGCTTCTCTGTCCTTGGGGGACAGGGGCAGAGAGCCCAGCAGGAAGTGGGGGGCCTTGGCTGGAAAGCAGGTGGGCAGGGCCAGTCTCCCTTCCTCTTCCTGAGCTCCCCTGTCCCCATGTGGACGCAGAGGGCAGAGCTGGGGTGAAGAGGGGCAGCGATGCTTTCCCAGCTCCTGCTCTTGCTTCCTGCTGGCCAGGGGCAATCTCCCCAAGTCATGACTGAGACCCCTGACAACCTTGGTGGCTCTGGGGGTTCAGGAGCCCGGACTCCCACTCTGCCCTAGCTGGCAGGCCACATGGTTACACTGGGCATGGGGCCAGAGGCTTGCATGGAGGGGGGAACAAGGGTGAGGGGGTGGACTCCCGGAGGATATCTGCCTACCCAGGCCTGGCCAGCTCCCACATCAGCCTATGCCAGGAGGCGGATGACCCCATTGTCTGAGCCCAGCAGGAGGTGGCGCTTGGTGGGCAGCAAGGCCAGGCTGGTGAGTGTGCCACGGAAGTTCTCTGAGCTGAGCTTGGTGGTGGCCTGGGAGGGCGGCTCAAGCAGGGAGCAGACGCCGATCTTGTTGGCCACGGTGCCGGTGATCACCTCGCTGCCGTACAGGTCGAAGGTGTGGATCGGGTCAGATGCCGACTTGTAGTGGTGTGTGGGCTTCTGCTCCAGCTCCTTCCAGACGGTCAAGGAATGGTCGGAGGAGGAGCTGACCAGGACGCCGCCCTCCACGGCCTGCTCAGGGAGAGGGGAGCCTCAGCAGGGCCTGGGGCGCCCGTGGGCCCACCCAGCTCCAGGGTCTTCCCATTCCCTCCCACGATCTCTCCCAGGAAGACAGGATGTTCTGAACGGCTGACGGGCGGCCATCTTCCCACATTATGTTCATGTTAATGAATATGAATATACTAGAGGTTCGGTGCACGACATTCGTGCACTGAGGGAGAGGAGGTCCCTCAGCCCGGCCTGCGCTCTTTAGCAGTCTGGGAGCCCTGGGGAGATGTCCGACTGATGGACATCCTTAGCACTGCTGCGGAGGCAGGAGAGGCTCCCGCCACTGCCACTGCGCTCACCAGCTGTCAGCCCGGCCTGTGGCTGAGCAGCAACCCCCCTGTGGGAGTGCACTGACCACCGTGGGGAAGCTCCTGCGTTGAGCGTCTGCCCCCTGGTGGTCAGTGCGCATCATAGTGACTGGTCGTTCGGCTGTTTGGTCGATTTGCATATTACCTTTTATATAGGATTACAGCATCATTAACCTAGTCATCACTATAGTTTGAGCACTTACTATGTTTAGGCATTGTGTTAGGCACACCGCATTACCACGTTTCATCTTTGTAACAACTCTATGAGGTAAATGCTGTCACTGTTCCCATTTTACAGAGAAAAACTGAGGCTCGGGAAAGTTAACTAATCATACCAAGGTCACAGAGCCAGGATTAAAACCAGGCTGACCCCAGAGCCCTCCTGGAAAGTCAGGATTGGAAAGCCAGAATTTAGAGGCATCTGCAGCCCAGGGTCCCCTGGGGCGGGGGGTAGGGGGGTCTGAAGGGAGCCCGGCAGCCTGTCCCCCCAGCAGCGTCAGTGCATGTGCCCTGGCCTGGCCTCCACTTAGGATGGGGAGGGAATCCCAGCTGCCAGGAAAAATCCTCCCACAAGTAGCCCCATGCCTCCCTGCCTCCTCCCACACACACACACCGTGCCTCCCTGAGGTCCGTGATTGAGAATGGGGTGGGGGCAGGATCCCCATGCCCGGTCTGCCCCTGCCCCCACCAGAGCAGCCCAGCAGGGGGCATGGACTCTGCTCAGTGGTCTGGGGGCAGTAAACAGCCTCCCAGCTGAGCTTTATTTAACCTGAATTGGGTCACGGACAGGACCCGACCCCTGATCCTCCAAGCAAGACAAATATGGACAAGGGTTACTCATTAGAACATCTCCAGGGAGCAGCAGGGTCAGCTCGGCCCGCAGCGCCCGCCCCCGTGGCCTGCCTCCTGCCAAGGCCCCGCAGTGAAGCTGGCTCCTCCCGATGCTCCCTTACACCTGTCCTTGGGCAGGTGTCAGGAAGATCAGCTTGAGCCTGTCCTGGGTGGGCCCTACACAGAGGTGGGGACCCGGAGCAGTGAGGTGGGGAAGGGGCCCTCGTCTGTCACCTTGATCTGCAGGATGTCCCCTTCGTGGGCAGGCCAGCCACGTAGAACCAGGCCTGTGCGGGTGTCCAGGAGCACCATAAAGCCCGAGGAGAAGCCGGCCACAACGCTGCGGCCGCTGGGACTCACGGCCAGGGAGCGGACCAGCCCAGGGTTCAGCCCGCCACCCAGGCGGAACTCATGCTGCAGGCAGAGGAAGACAAGCTGAGGTGCCACTGCCGGCTCTGCCTGCTCTAAGCCGCTCTCCCTGAGGTCCTGCTCAGCCCTAAGCCCACACACCTGGGAAGCCTGAGTCTCTGTCCCCCCCAGTCAAGGGGAGAGCTCCCCCATCAGCACCCCCCACCCCAGGGTTTGCTGCTGTGGGTGATCTGTCTCCAAAGAGAAACTACGCCCTGGCCTTCTCTTGGGGATCCCTCCCTGCCGCCAGAAGTCACCCAGGCCGGGCTCAGGCAACTGGACATCCCTGACCTGCAGGCCAGGCTTCCTACTGTCCACAAAGCGCAGGGTCGAGTCAGAGCTGGCCATGGTGACGCTGCTGTGGGGAGCAGGCATGACAGCCACAGCGGTCAGCGGGACCCGGCTGTCCGACGGCTCCACCGTGCGAAGGGTCTTCCCTGGAAAGGAAACGTGCAGTGGATCTGGGGTTCCAGGAGCTGATGGAAGAGCCCAAACTCCTCCTATCTTCCCGACCAACCCCATACCTGCCTCCCATATCCCCAGGGATCTCAGAAAATACTAGGTGTTTCTTTTTTTTTTTTGGTGCCCTTGACCAGAATTGAACCTGGGACTCTTCAGTCCACAGGCCAACGCTCTATCCACTGAGCCAAACCAGTTAGGGCATACTAGGTGTTTCTTGACCTTCCTACCTTCCTTCTTTCATGGCCAGGCCAGAATCCCATCCCCAAAGCAACGACTGAATGCTACCTCCCTCTGTCTACCTCAATGCTATTCCAACCCCCCTTTTAACTTTATTTCTCCCTCCATTGATGCCAAAAAATAATCGAGCCACCATTTATCAAACATGTGCTCATGCTACATTTTAAGCCAAACCCCTATGTTAAGCTAAACCATTTGTTCTGATTCCCATTTTACAGATGGAAAAACTGATGCTTCCAGCAGTAAAGATCACTCAGCAAGTAAGTGGCCAGGGCCGATTCAAACTGAGGTCTAATGGATTCCAAGTCCTAACTGCTCCTCTGTGTGGCTTCACTGGGTCACCCCAAAACCACACAGCACCACACTCCAACCACTCCACCCTTGGGCCCCATTCCAGAGGCCTACCGGAGGACAGGGTGACAGCAACAGAACAGACCTCACCTGGGCCCGCTCACCTGTGAAGGGGTCCCAGATGTGCACAGCCCCATCACAGCTCACCACATACTGGGGGGCCTCCAGCTGGCCCACAAAAAAGACACTCTTGCGGTGCTGGGCGTAGATGAGGCGTGGGGCTGTCTCGCTGGTGCCGTCCCCATAGTTGTAGAGCGGCCAGAGGCGCACAGTGCGGTCCTTGCTGCCACTCAGGAAGAAGTCCTCACTGCTCAGGGGTGCCACACACTTGACAGCCCCTGAGTGGCCCGGGAAGCTCTGCAGGCGGATCTGGTGGAAGTGAAAGTGGGCATCCTGCTGGCTCACGCCAATCTCGTACTGCCAGTATGCCAGCCAGTTCCCGCTCAGCCCGTGGGCACTCCGTGGCAACTCCCGCTTCAGTGCGTTGTCTTCGCTTTCGCTGCCGAGGCCCCCACTGCCCATCCCGGAGATCAGGCCCAGGGGGCCGGAGCTCTCCGGCTGAGAGTCGTCAGGGATCTGGATGCGGTTCCCGACTAGGACACTCCCAAAGGTCCCCGAGTGGCCGTCATCCTGGGAGCAGCCCCCTCCCTGGGGGTCCGACTCAAGGCCGGCGCTGGGCACGGTGGGCTCCACACTGGCAGGGCTGCGACTGCTCGGGCTGATGCTCTCCAAATACAGCCCTGCCAGCTCCCCCACCAGCTCATGGTTAGGAATGATTTTCTGGATGATGTCACCTGGATGGAAGTGGAAGTGGTCCCAAGATTAGAGAAGGTAACAGGTGGCTGCTACCACCCAGCCAAGGGCTTGGGAACCAGAGGGGACAGGGCAGGTACTGGCTGTGCAGCTCTGAGCAAGTGAATCTTCATTTCTGAGCCTCAATTTGCTCCCCAGGAAAATGTGGACTCATTCGTTCACTATGTACACATGAGCATCTTCTATGTGTGCTGGGCACAGAAGTAGAACAAACAAGACAGGTCATGCTCTCCCTCCCAGAGCTTAGCTGTTAGTGGAGGGATGACAACTTATCTGACCACAGGGCTGTTCATCCTATGCAGGGAGATGACACCTGTTGGCACTCAGCAGTGTCCAGCCTGTACCCTGCGGGAACCTAAGTGAGCGGTGGGCTGCTCATTCCTCTCAGGCAGCTGCCAGAGACACTGTGCAACTCTGAGCAAGTGAATCTTCATTTCTGAGCCTCAATCTGCTCCCCAGGAAAACGTGGACTCATTCGTTCACTATGTACACGTGAGCATCTTCTATGTGTGCTGGGCACAGAAGTAGAAGAACAAACAAGACAGGTCATGCTCTCCCTCCCAGAGCTTAGCTGTTAGTGGAGGGATGACAACTTATCTGACCACAGGGCTGTTCATCCTATGCAGGGAGATGACACCTGTTGGCACTCAGCAGTGTCCAGCCTGTACCCTGCGGGAACCTAAGTGAGCGGTGGGCTGCTCATTCCTCTCAGGCAGCTGCCAGAGACACCAGGACGTCAGCCTGATCCCCCCACCCTCCCCGGGGAGACGCCAGGCCACTCCTGTGCCACCTTGCTGGCTAACGCTCAGTCCCTGTTATTATGTCACATTGAGACTTGAAGTCTGAGGCCAAATTCCTTTGCTCTGACCCAGAAATCTGTGCTTAACACCCACTACTGACTCCGAGGGCAGGGGGAGCATGGAGCCCTCCCAGGAAAAAAGACATAGCCACAGAGGCCGTGTGAGGAAAGGGGAGGGGCAGTACCCAACAGGCAGGAGAAAGGCACGTAGATGGTGTATGCCATCTCCAAGGTGAACACCTTCTGCAGCTCATCCAGCAGGGCGGGGTCCACCAGCCGCTGCTGCCCATCAGAGAAGGCCACCTCTGGCAGCTGGCCCTCACTGTGGCCCACGGGATCCAGATCCTGGGGGAAGGAAGCCCAGGGAGTCAGCTGAGTCCACGGCCCCTGCCCAGCTCACCCCAGCCAGGTAGGTCTACCCACCTGGTGCCGCAGCTCATGCAGCTGAGAGAAGACTTGGAAGAAGGTGGCCACAGGCTCGCTCAGGTGCTGCTGGACCATCTCCTGTCCGATGCGAAGGCAGATGAGGGCGATGAGGCTGATGGTTTTCAGACACAGGACCGTCCGGGCCTGGGCTCCACTTGGGAACCTGGAAAGAGCTTATTAAGCTCTCCAGCTCCCCACACTGTGGGACTTGCCCAGAATCTATCAAAAGCTGTAAGTAGCCCTAACCGGTTTGGCTCAGTGGATAGAGCATCAGCTTGCGGGCTCAAGGGTCCCGGGTTCGATTCCGGTCAAGGGCATGTACCTTGGTTGCGGGCACATCCCCAGTAGGGGGTGTGCAGGAGGCAGCTGATTGATGTCTCTCTCTCATCAATGTTTCTAATTCTCTATCCCTCTCCCTTCCTCTCTGTAAAAAATCAATAAAATATATTTTTTTAAAAAAAGCTGTAAGTGAAAGGTGCTACAAGACCAACTGGTCCAAGCCAGAAGAGGAAACTGAGGCATAGAAAGGTGTGGCTTGCTCAGGGTCACACAGCTGGGATCAGACCTAGGACACCCAGCCCAGTGTCAGTGGACTCTCCTCCAAGCTTCCCGGTCCCCACCCCCTTGGCCCCTCAGCTGGGCTGCTCCCCCGACAGGATGGGGCAGGGGCCTACCCTGTGACGAGGGAAGTAAGGAAGCTGAGCACAGGCAGCAAGACCTCGTGGCTGATGCGGGGCAGGATGTCCATGAGGGTGGTGTCGGAGAGGTACACAATGATCTTCTGGGTCAGAGTCACCGCTGCCAGGAGCCCAGCCTCCTTACGGCTGTTCAGTCGACTGGGGCTTGAGGTGCTACCTGGGGCCACCTAGGGACACAGAGTCGATGAGGGCCAGGCTGCCCCACAGACCCCCTGAAACCCCCAAAGATCACAGGTCAGCCCTCGGGCTCCTCAGACCCTCAGCCCCCAGCCTGCCAAATCGGACACTGACCAGGTAGCTGATGTAGGGCAGGTACTGGTAGGTGAGGACGGGCTCCCCATACAGATGGGCGATGTGGAGGAGGCAGCTGAGCACAGGCCCCGACACTATATCGCCCAGGACCGGTCTCTTCTGGTAGATGTTGCCGGCACCCAGCGGGGGGCTCTCGCCACTGCTCACCGTGAACTGCTGCCGAGTGGACCCTGCCAAGGAAGGGCCAGAGGTTTGAGTGCTGGCAGAGGGCAGGAGGGCAGGAGGCCTTCCAGGGTCTGTGGTAGCCACTCCCACTCACGCTAGCCTGCAGTCTGCCCCATGCCCTAAGGAAGAAAGAAGCTTACAGACTGGGACCCAGGACCCAGGAGGTGGTCTGCAGTGGGAGTGGGAAGGATCCCCTAGAGGGGGCTGGAGATGGACAGAGGGCCTGGAGGACATTTCATCTCCAACACTGACCATAGGTCTTACCAACGTAACATGATGTCAGCAGGCGGAGCAGGTTGCGGGCTACGTGGCGGGAGGCCACCGTTGGGCCAAGCTTGGCGGACAGCCAGCGGACCATCTTGCAGGTAGTATCTGCAGGGAGGAACAGACCTGAGCCCATCAGATAATGGTGGCTCACCACTCCACCCCATGGCACCCACCTAGCTAACGCTGGCTACAATCTGCTAAGAAGCCCGCCTGAGCCCGGTCGCCCCAGAGCACCACTGCAGTGCACTCTGGCCTCAGGGCTGCTCCAGGTTATCCTTTCAGTGACTCTTCTCCAGTTCCTAAGTGACTCCCTCTCTGATCTCTGCTCCCTCCTCTGCCCTCCACTCCCTCAGTTGAATCATGCTGGCCTTTCACTGATTTTTAACAGAACCATGACAGCCTCTGAGCTCTGCACATGCTACTCCCTCTGCATGGAATGCTCTTCCCACTGCAGACCCTGATATCTTTCCCTAGCTATTTCCTACTCATTGAACCCCAACTGGCCCTACTTTCGGAGTCTTCTCTGACCCCTGAAAACTAGATCTCAGCCCCATTTTATATTCCCTTGTAGCACCCAGCTGTACTCTTGATAGCGCCACCCTAACTTGGGCTTACGCTTACATAAGACTGTCTTTACCGTGGCATCTCCTCTGCTGGGTGTGAGCTCCAGGAGGACAGGCCCACATCTATGCTGTGTGCAGACCTGCTCGATCCACTGCTTGGTGCAGAATACATGCTCTGCACGTGTTGAGTGCAAACCAGATAACTGACCTACAAACTCAGGCTCGAGTACTCACCAAGAAGGATCTTCTGTTCTTGGCCCTCCGACCGCTCAGTCAGCGGCTCCTCTTCGTCCTCCCCATCTGCCCCACCACCAGCAGCCACAACCGTATCCATGGACAGCACCGTGTTGGAGAGAGTGAGCTCAGATGCCCCAGTGACTTCATCTTGCTCCCCCTCTTCCTCCCCCTCCTCCAACACCACACAGCCTTCCTCGTCCTCCTCCTCCTCCTCTGAGCCTTCGCTTTGCTTCAAGTTCTGACTGCTGTCACCTGACCTGAGGCTGCTCTTGTCCATAGGGGCTCCCCCTTCGTCTGCAGCCTGCTCCTCGCCCAGGGAGGTCTCACTGGTGCTGCTCTTGTCACTCAGCTGGCCCAGGCTCACCACCTCAGCCTCCTGGGGCTGCGGGGACTCAGACACATAGAGCCCCGCTTGGAAGTCCTCTGTCTCCGACAGGTCCGCCTGGTCGTGGAAGCTGACGCCAGACGTATAATCTGGGAGCCCCAGACCTGACGAGGCAGCAGGCT